ATTTTAAAACTGTCAGCTGATTATCAAAACTTAGAAAACATCACACATGAGAATAAAAATAAAAACTACATACATTTAAAACTCAATATAAACTTCTTACAATTTCTAGAGTTCATGAAATTTATTTCAATCTGAACTGAAGCTAAATCAATTTTATCTAATCTAATTTAATTTAAAGAGTTAAAAGAGGCAGTCAGTGGATGAGGTTGTGTATCAATTAAATCCCAGGAGGATCTATTTTATTGCAACAGGTGTCTTGAAAAAAAGTATGCAAAGCATTATTTTTACATTCCCACTTTCTAATTCAGGGGTGATCGGTGGAAGTTTTGCACATGTGTGGCTCATGTTCATTCTCCGACTGCAGAAAAGGGCTGCAGCTGCTGCGTCTGACTCTGTGTTTTGGAGGAGGGAGGGGAACGCTCACTTTTTGTTGAAGACACCAAAATCTGCTTTCATGTTGTCAAAATCTCCAGCAAGACAGGAAATGGTTTTTACATTTGTCGCTAAAGGTGTGTGAAATATGGCAAAGTGTATCAACAATGTCACAGAGTTGGCAACAATGCATTTAGTCTTAAAGGTGCAGGGTTCATATTTTCATGCAAATAAGGAGGCAAATGTGTTTTAAAACGCTGTACCTGCAACCCTTTCGCTCCTGAAATGTCAAGGTATCGACATAAGTCAACTGTAATTCTAAAAGTTTTAACCTAACCAGCATCGAGTGGACGATCAATCGTTTTTCTCTCGCAAAGCTTGCTCTCTGTTGTAGAGGCTGTAGCATGTTCACCTGCCTTAGTGAGCTGATGACAGTCTTAGCGAGGCAGCCCAAGATGAAATTAAGACACCAAGTATTTGGATACTGGCCATAGAAAATCAAATATGCTGGATTTGCCTGATTTGAGAACAGTTCACTGTGCTGATATGTACTAGGGAAGATGTCCAGAGTGTGTGTGGTTGCAGATTAGACCTCTGCAACCACACACATCAAATGTTGCTTGCGTCTGGTCGCGAACTAGTTTTTCTGGTATGCTTCTGCACCCTCAGACTGGAATTTCTAGGGACGCACAGCAGTTTGCCGTCAAAGTGGAAGGGGGAGCCTATTCGAGAACTCGCAAGAACTTCGACGGATTGAACTTCCAAACCTCCTCGATTGACTTTTTGTCGTAGTTATCCATTATAGTGTTCCTCGGTTTTTAAAAATGGCGCGTTGCAGCACCGAATCCACAAGGACGACCACACAGACAGCCAGAAAGGCATACCAAGGACCAATCACAGCTGCTTTTTGTCTGCGAACTTCCACTAGAGGTTTGCGCGGGTTTGCGATCGTCCGACGCGTAGTCACACAGAGACAGATTTGACGGTTGCAGAGGTCATGCATCAGAAGCATAAATTGGCCTTAAATCAAAAGGCCAACTCACTCAAACTTGTCGGCCCTCATTTGAACATAACAGCAGAAAATTTGAGTAAAGCTCACTGCAGCTTTCCATTTAAAACCTACAAATACACTACTATAGCACAATGATTGAATTGTGATCCGAGTCCAACCAGACAGAGTTATTCTGCTCTGAAAACGCTCCCGTTGGTGTTTAGTGGTTGACAGAAGCCAACAGCAACTGCACAGTGCCGCACATGTGCCGCTATCAGATCCAGTGAAATCCCGGGTTAGATTGATCTCTATGAGATAATGACATTAGACAGGATCATTTCATACCAGAAAAAAACCATGAATGAAAAAACTGAAACTAGACCAAGATTTGGTAGTTTGTATTGTATCAGCACCTCTCTGCAAAATCAAGGAGTTATCTGTACCCAGCATGTCCTTGGTTATTTCATGTATTAAAATAATCTAACATTCAATTTGAGTTTAGTTTGTTTTGGTTACTTTTACAATATTTTAAAAGGGAAGGTTCACCAAGAAATTGTCATGGAAAATTTCCCATTGAAAGCTCTCCAGGTGCGATAGATATAAACCCCCTACCAAAACTGGCCAAAAAACTAATTTAAACCCTGGGAGAATCAGCTTTTAGCAGCAATGGGAACAGCTTACTCATGTCTGTCTACCTGGGTCAAATGACCTGGCAAGCGACCCGTGTTAAAATCACCTCGGCTCTGATCGGCGTGCTGTGGTAAAAGACCAGCTAAATTACTTGACACCACTGAACGCAAGATATGGACGTCAACACACCGTGCCAGTCGCTTGTGATCCAACAAGCCAAAGCAACTCAGTTCACATTTGATAAACAAGACACATCAAGTAGTAAGAGGGTTTGGGAAAGATAAAGGAGCAAAATAATAAAGAATACTGACTACACACTTGCTCCCGTCAATGTTGCTCTCCATTAATTACTTCCCTGATTTCTGTCACACTGTGAACATCAGTCAGACTCAGCTTTTCATTCAAATGGGAAAAGAGCCAAAAGCCGATTGCTAGATGGTCAACCTGGTTTTGAAAAATCTGGGTTTTCAGTGGGAAAGTGGCTACAGAGTTTATCCCAAAATCTGTTTGTGAGAGTCACAGATAATCTTAACCTAACAAAAAAAACACTGCTTCAAGCTAATGATTTAGATTTCAGCCTAACTGGGCAAATGTCCAATTATGAACCAGTCTGATGCCTACAAGTTTGATTTATTTTAAAAGAGTAGAAAAACCTTTTCTACTCTTTTAAAACAAAACTGCAAAACAAAATCTTTTTTGTTTTATTGCAATAAATATAATTTCAAACAATTAAACTATTAACTGTTGAAACTTTTAAATGTGCCTTTAGGGTAGAGTAAGTACACCACAAGTATGAAAGATATTTGAAACTGGTTTTTCAAAGTTTACATAACAGTTTAGCTGTTTAACAGAAAGCCTAATATTCTGTAATTATAATGATGTTCGTAGTTGTACCAAAAGCTTAGATATATGGCAAGATCAATCAAATGATTGTTGCGAGAAAACACCTACAGCAAGGTAAATGCATGTAAAACAGTGATCAGTTCATTAATCACTCTAAAGATCCAGATAACACATATACTCCCAAGCAATCATAGGACCATAGAAAGGCTTCTCATATGTATCAAGATGTTTGCACCTTTACTATTTTTAGAAATAAAGGATGACACCAGTAGATGCATGTTGTTAATGAATCACAACCACAAACCACTAGGGGCTTTCTCAAAGCATAGATTGGGGCAGTGGTTCCCAAACCATTTAGCATCTGACCCACCAAGTAACCACAGCATAGATTCAGTACTAAACAACGTATGCGTACAGGATACAAGCACTGCTGATACAACAAGTAAACAAAGACAAATATATACTCCAAAACGGTAACAACTACTAACTTATCATGATATAAGAGTATATGGCCACTATCTTTGCTGCAATCAACAAATCTTTGATTTCACAACCTGGGAGCTCCATCCCCACGTTGATGTCAGCAGGAAATGTTTCAAAGGCAAAAACCTGCCATTTCAACCCGCCCAAACACACATGTCGGGTTTCTCTATTCTGGTGAGGACTTTCCATCGACTTCCATTCATGTGTAGGTTATTTCTACAGCGCAACCCTGACCCTAAACCTAACCATTATCGTTACATAACTATCCCTAAAAAAAAACTAAATTCACGCTTTAGTCCTAAACCTAACACCTAAGCTAAAACAGCAATCTCCCCCAAGATAGCGTTATAACAGAAAAAGGTAGAAAAAACAAACAGTTTTCGTGTGATAAAACCTACTAATGTGACAAGTCAACACATCTAATATCTAAAAGTCAAATTTGAAAAAGAGGCTGTATAAATACATTCTTCCAATTTAATCTTTTTCTTTAGACAACCCTTTGAATATTTGCTAAAATTTCTGAATTTTTTAACCTGTTCTGTGACAAGTTTTATTAACCCACACAGCTTTGATCTCATCCAACAACAGATGTTAAATTCAAAGATTACATATCACATATCCTCTATTTATCTTTCAAAACGTTTCAGCTATATAAAAATAAAACTATAAATTATTTAAATATAAGAAGAAACGTTCTGTTTACATTAGGCTGACAAGAGGGCTGTTGTGTTTTTCAAACCACCTAATAACCTGTAATAGGACTGCAAATATCATTAATGAAATAGATTAATAATTTTTTGAATATGGCAATTTATTGTTTTAAAAATCGTATTGATATCAGAAACATCAATACGTTTTGTGTATTTTTGTTATAAAAAAGCATGTTTCACTGCCTTTTAAATTAAACTTGGGGGGCATATTTACTTAAAAATATTTCTTATTCTGATTTGGTCAGGAAAAACAAATGACTTTAAACCTGAATTAAAAATCCTAATCGCTATTTTAAAGTGTTAAAATTCCTAATCAGCTAAAATACTTAAATGCTGTAAGTACATTATTTTTAAAATGATCAGATCGGCTTCAGCTCACGTTAAATGCTGGGGAAAAATAGGATTAATTCTTTTTAGGTCACAATCTTGTAATATAAATCCAGAACATGCTAATCGTCCAAGATGCTGTAATTTTCCACCCCTTTAAACCGCTAGCATGGTTTTAATCATTCAGACGCGTTAAAGTTCTCTACAATATGTTACCCAAAAATACCTACAAATATCCGAAATAAAAGATACGCCCACATATTAGCTTTTATTCCGTTACAATTTGTTTTTTGTTTTTTTATTTTATTTCTAAATCACTCCAAACTTAATATTTCAATACCAATATTCGAGTCAGGAGCCAAACTTTTGGACTTGCTGGACTGGCAGACAGTGCTAGCTGGCTAACGCTAGCATGGCTAACATGTTAGCCGTCTACCTGCTCCATGTGTCCTCCATGCTTCAGCTTCTTTTCTTTTTTCTATTAACGAAACATTTCAATAACAAACGCGGTTTATATAACGAGTCTCGAGAAAGAGAAAGACAGCAGAAGGAGCATCACTGAGCTAACATTGCCGCTTTAGCTTTAGCTAGATGGTAACACATGGTGGTGATGAAGGAGGCAGATTTCAGCTTAACAGACTCACCCAGAACCACCTGGAAACTCTGAAGATCACCTTCGTGTCATACTGAGAGGAGAGTCTCTGTTATCTGGGGGAAACCGTCGCTGAAGCGTGAAGCTATCCGAGTTAAATAGAAGAGTGTTTGGACAGCAGCAGAGAGCCAGCGGGAGCGCAGGGAGGTATAGCCTCGCCGTGTGTTGACAGACGGACCCCGGATCTTTACTACACTACAGCAGGGTGAACTGGACTGAACTGGCTGTGTGACTGCAGGAAGTGACGTTTCCTGACATCACGGATAACCACGCAATCAACAGCCCAAAGTAAATATTGTTACAGTCAAAACAGGGGGCTCATTCACTCACATGTGTCACTGCAGCAGATCATAAGGACTGTCAGAAACTATACCTGATGTTGAGCCTGAAGTAATGGTGCCTTGCATGCAGAAGCAATGCATGCACAAAAAATCCCAAGAGAAATTCAGAATTATATTATGCCTATCTAAGATAATAATTTACTATGCAGTGGCTGTGGAAATGTAAGGAACATTATAAGTGGATTCAAGATAAGTTTACAATAATAAATCTGAAAGGTGTGGCTTGCAATTTTTTTTTGTTACTGAATAAAATTTTTCTGCTGCAGCATTTCTCTATTAGGGGTGAGCATGCTCAATTTTCTAATCTTGTTTTAGGATATAACTTTGACTAGGCTACTCTAATACATAAATATGGATTAATATTAACCTATGGTGGCCGACAGGTGCAAACTGACAACAAATGATGGAACAAGCTGCAAAAAACATGTGACGCCATCTCCAAATCGCGCATGCATGAAAAAAAGAAAAACTGCACACAAAAAGAAACGTTCTGCAAACGGGTGTAAACGCACAGAAAAAGGCAAAATAAGCTGCAAACATGCATATGATGCAGTATAAAACATGCAAAAACAAAACAAGCAACAGAAAAATGCTGCAAACAAAACAAAATGCTGCAGTTATTAAAAAGACAAGTAAAAAACTACCATCAACAAAATAAATGCAAACAAAAAAAGGCTACAGCCGCATACAAAAAATGCTGCGATCACAAAACCTCTGTACAGATCCAGACCCTCCAAACACAAAGTTAAGCTTTAACGTGGATAAAAAAAAAAAAGTTGGATGAAGATATAAAGAGAAAAATACTTATCCACAGTTATGGATAGTACATATTTATAAGTAGCTAGTCTGTTTTTTGTACTATTTGCATCATTTTCTTTCAGTGATTGTGGAATATTGTTTTTGCTTAGCAGATTTTGTTTGTGGTTGCACCTTTTTTGTTTGCATTTGATTCGTTGATTGTAATTTTTGCTTCTATTTTGATCGCAGCATTTTTTGTTTGCAGTGTTTTTCTGTTTAAACATGTTTAAATCTGTCAGCCATTGTCCTTAACCATGTACCTCTGACAATATATGTAATGAAACGGGGGTGATCCTCAAACTAAAGATTTTTTTTAGGTTGTTGCTCCATTCAGCCTCCTACAAATGAGATGAACTTTCCAATTCATGCTAAAGAAGAGCATCCCCAAAGCATGAATAGACCACCAGGTCTTATGTTGACATTGGGCCTTGAATCATGTACAGTGCTACTTCTGATATTAGATTAAAATTGCTTTCGTCTGTCCATAGAAGCCTCTACCACAGATTTGGTCCCTTGATTTCATGCTATTTTTCCATAAAGACTATATATGCAGAGTCTAAGACTAGCAGCAATCCTATTAACAGCTTCTTACCCCTGAGCTGCAGAGCTACACAAGGCTTCTTGGATTTTTCTCTTTTTAATACCGAGTATTTACAGCAATTCTTGAACAAATCCTTAATGCTCTTTTTTGACTAAATTACACTCAGGAGGATGCAATTTACTAATAAGGTGACTTCTGAAGCCAGCTGGCTGCACTGAATTCCATTTGGAGGCATCAGACATAAGGGAGCTAAATACATTTGAACCTACTTTTCTTTTTTTTTTTTTTTTACCTCTAAAGATGTAGAATTCAATGCTGGGATAAAACTTTTATTTCATATAAATGGATCAAGATAGAAACATTTCAAATGACAAAAAATTGCCAAAGCTTCTAAAGTTGAACTTTAACATATTTTAATCTTTGAAAGTAAATTCTGAGAAGTGTTCCTTTCCACTTACTGTTACATAACCGTAAGTTATTCAACAACAGTTAATTACTGATTCACGAGTGCTTGGTTTCTGATTGATTTTTTTTTCTCCAATTATGTGGGCTACGAACTTCTTCCCAGCACCCTATCTCCCACACTTACAACAAAATGTCCGGAAGGTTCAAATCGTTCCTGCATCTTCCTCGTCCTCCTCAGTTGGATGAACAGTGACGCACGAGCCAAGGCAAACAGAGAGGCCAGCTCCCCGCTGCTGCTTTCAGTGTGCTAATCCAGACGCTTCCCCACTTTTTCCCAAACAGAATATTTTGCTTTGGGCGCATCAGATATGAGGCCCAGGGATTGAGCAATGTCAACTTCATTTTGGACACTGGAATCTGACTGGTTTGAGGTCCAGTTTAATTTCTGATGCATTTAAGATTATTCAGAAAAAATTCTATTTAAGTCCTAAGCGGATTTCTAAGCAAGGTGGAATATTTTAAAGTCTTTCAAGAATATTAAAGATTTTTGTTGTTTTTTTTTATCCTGCTGATCCTCTGGGTCATGTGTCTGTGCAGAGGAAGGCTTTAGGTTAATATAGCATCTAATGCTGATATCAGCAGTTGCTTTGTTATTAGCTGTTTCCAAGTTATTTTCCCTCAAACAGATGAGTTACTGTCAAAAATGAAACAGGGAGGGGTTCTATGTGGTTCCTCTCTTTTCTCTGTATTGTTTAGTTATCAGCTCTTTAAATTTCCCCAGTAAAAAAAAAAAAGACAGATTACGTTGTTCTCATCTTGTACATAAAGGCTCTGAGCCAACTGAAAGGCTGAGGCCTGATAAAAAATAGCGAGGATGAATAAGCTCTGGCCATCCAGTCTGGTCCTTATCTGCTCCTCTGACCCTTTTCCTAGTCCAGCGCTGATAATCCACGACCAGTGGCAAAATACAGGATGTGACCGAATAACCTTAGACTGCGGTAGGAGGGAGAGAAATTGTTTATTAGGGTGTTGTTCAATGTAATCCTTCAAAAAGAGATTGAAGTTCTCAGGAGCTAAAGAGTGGCGGCATTTACCACTGCATGTATGTCTCAAAAAAGAGGAAATTGTTAAGTTTCTTCCGGTAATTCAGTTATAAGAATTACATATTATTCAAATTTAACATTTTAGTTATAAATCTCTTTTAGATTTAGCGACTTTTCATATTTAATTTTGCTTTTTTAAACTTTATGACAAAACACATCAGCTACATCCTCCCTGCAGAATTTAGGGCCAAAACAGGTCAGCTATCTTCCAGATCACATTCTGTATCAAAAATCCTATTAACATTTTCTTGCATTATTTGCTAAATGAATAAAATTGATTTATATATAATCTTTTCTACAATAACCATCAAAGTAGGGTAAACATGTCTGAAACGAATCACTGTACAATATTCCAAACAACTTTCACTTTTAGGATTCCTCTGCTGAATTTGAAGTTTTCATGATATTTTAACCCTTTCATGCATCGTGATCACTACAGTGTACAGCTGTTTAAAAGTGTTTCTTTCTTTATATATATATATATATATATATGCGCCTTCAATTTTGGGCATTTATGCATATTGTCCATTCTAGTGGAAGCTATTGCATCATCCCATACAGAAAAATCCCATTCACCTCTGCTACTTCAGTTTCTACAGGGGGGTAGAGGAACCACTGTTCCAATAGAATACCATGTTACAACCTAAAAAGTAAATTACAACTATATCTATGCAAATACTTTAATTTTTTTAGAGTATAAAATGCAAAAAGTACACATAAGTGGAGTAGAATATTTCTTTATAGAATAAAAGTGTTTTCCATTCCCAAGGAGGTATGAACACACTAAGTGATAACATTGCGAGTTTATCATAGTTCATGCATGAGAGGGTTAATGATGAGCTGAACTTAAAAAAAAAAAAAAAAAAAAAACTTATGATGTGGCACTACAACTGATCTCAAACAGGTCATCTGAGGTAACTTTGTGTTATGTTGTGAACCATAAACTGCAATAAAATCACAGATAATCAACATTTGCTTTTGGTTTTATTCATGCCAAGCAGATTACACCAGATGTGTTTGTAGAGAAGCTCAGCTCATAGCAGAGCCGCTTTCCTTCGCAGAACACAGACTCTTCTGTGGAAGTCCAGCCATGGAGCAAACGCAGACACTGAAAGGCTTCGGGTTTGTAGGCCAGTCTTGCAGAGTGAACTCGTTCCCTTTCTGAGGTTTCGAGGCTGGTTTACTCCACTGTGTAACTGCAGCTTCAAAGTCCCACTGGAAAAACAGAATTACAGGAGGAAGGTTGTGTTATGCAATGTTCCTCCGGGTTACAATGCAGTGTAATAAGTAACAGCAGTTCTAGTCGGACAGTTTGACAATAACACGTCAATCCTTCGTTTAGAAATATGTCCTTACATAAGTAGTGACAGAACAATTTTGCACCATCCTTGCCCTTTGTAACCTGCCTATCCATTTTGTGAGGAATGGTTTTATTAAATATTTATTAAGGCTCAAGGAAAATCTTAAATGATTTTGTCTACTTTTCATGAAAAAAAAAAAAAACTATTGTCTACCCATTGAAGAGGAATAATTAAAACTCTACATTCATTTAGGAATATTGTAGCTCTTCAACTACGCAGGAACAATGCTAAAAGTTAATTTGTTACATTTTTTTCAATCTTGTATTTCAATTTTAGTAACTATAGCTTGATATTTCCCTTTCAGTTGGAATTATAAGCAATCTAAAACATAGAAAAAGAATTATAATTATAATCATACTTTTTAAAGAGTTATCACATCTTCAGCATGGTTGAATTCCTGAATGGTTGTGACTTAAAAACATTAGTGCTTCATCTTCAAATACACTATATTGTAAAAAAGGGTTTAATTATCTGTTGCCATGGACATTTGAACTTAATGAATATTCAATTTTTAATAGATATTTTATTATAAACAGCATCAGCCTTTCAGAGAAGGCTTTCCTCAAGGTTTAGGATTATTATTTACGCTGATTTTGAACCTTCCATAATTTCTAGGGTCCATCTTGCATTGGTGAGGTCAGACACTGATGTTGGACATGAAGGCAGCCTCTGCTCTAATTATCCATGAGATGTTTATCAGGTTCAGGTGAGGACTTTGTGCAGGTTAGTCAAGAGAATCCATAAACCTGTTCATGTTCCATGTCTTTCTTTCATTTGAAGTCAAAATGGAACTGATGAGGTCTTGCTAAAAGGCAGAAGAAAAAACCTCTCAGTTAATGGGGAGGCATGTAGCAAAAGCTTAAACCTTAATGGAAATCTGGGAGAATGTATCAGTATGTTAAAGCATTTAAAGGTTTCTTCCATCAAACTGGAGGCTTGAGAAGCAGACAAAAACTCAACCTCGTGTCTTGTGAACAAATCTTGCACCTGACATAATGCAGATAGGTAAATGCTGGTTTCCTAGCAACAGCCAAACCCAGAACTTACAGAACCTGAAGCATTTTACTTTCTATGGTAAAGCTTGAAAGCAGCTGGAAACATATTGCATAAAGATCTCCGTTACAAAACAAGAAAAAAAAAAAAAAGAGAAAAAAAAATATAGTGACACTCAAACTATTAATTGAACTTTTCTCTCTCATCATAAAATCAATACAATCTCTTCAGCTTTTGGAGAAGGCATAGGAAAGGACATGGCATTTCATAGTCTGAAGGTAGTAAAACCTAAAATAATCTTTGGTTAAAAACTTTCAGAAAATATCTGAAAATGATCTGGAATCTCAGCTACTTTTAAAAATAAACTTTAACTAATGCTTTTATTATCATGAAGCATTAGGTGAACACCTACAACACTGGAGGTTAAGTATTGTTCCAACACTGTTAAATTCCCGGCATGCAGGCATCAGACAAGAGACCATAAACATCTCCAAAAATAGCAGGGGGGTAACACTGGCCCCCTATAGACAAGCCAACCATTCTGCACCACTTCCTAAGCAGACAGACCCAGCCCTGTGGTGGTCTTTAATCAAAGATTTGTTACAGCAGAACAATTGGACCACAAAGCAGATCTCAAACAATTCCACCCATCGCTGAGGCCTTCAGCCTCACTCCCGCCAAGACGCAACACTCTGCAGAAATCTCAGAAACATTCAGGACATTAAACAATTTCATGCTGCTGGCAGCTGAAAAAAAGCTGGAAAATGCAAAAATAAATAGCCACTTCTTTTGGGCTGAAATTGTGCATAATGTTGAAACTAAACAGTATCCTATTCCAGTTCATTTGGCAGAGGGTTAAACATTGGAAGAAGTCATAGAGTTATGGAAACCTGCTCTACATTATGTTAGTAAATAAACAGCTTCTGTTAAGCTTAACAAGTGACTGCAAGTTTTAAAGAGGAGGAGATGAAGTCTTTGAATGTACTTTGGGTGGTTTCTGTTTAGACAGCAAATTAAAACACATACATATACATACATACACATTATATATATATATATATATATATATATATATATATATATAGTCATGCAATTTCAACAAAATATGAGCAGAAATATATTGTCAGCCATTTGACACAGGGGTGTTTTTTTTTTTCTTAGCAGTGCTCAGCAGAGTTGTAGTTTCATTGCATAATGGTTTTCTGCAGTGAACAGTTAAAACCCTGCTCTGCTTTTTGAACACATGCACAGATCCCTCAATAGTGTTCTAGGTTTTAACATGCTGACCAAGGTCTGCTTACCAGAACCTTTAATGACTGCCTTCTGACTTACTTCCCCTAAAGTCACATGTTAAACAGAGCACGAGTGATACACAGTCATCGCTTAGTCTGAAACTCTGAAAAGAAATGTCTTTTTTTTTTTTTTTTATAAAAATGCAGATGCTTTCTAAAGAAAATAATTAGGAAACTAAAAACCTGATCTAGAAGAAAATCTAATTGTTCAAAGGGTAAAATATTTGGTCAAATCCAACCAAAATCAAAGTTGGACCTTTTACTTCCTTAAGGCGGTAAGGTTGAGACACCATTCAAATTCAACTTAGGTGAAATAACAGTATCATTAGCAGTCTGACAATTATTTCCAATTATATTCAGGTGCAATCCGGACTTTATTTCTAATTTCCACAGGCTACCACCACCTTGTGGCACCTTGTAAGAAGTGCGCATTATGACAGCGTTTGAATAAATGTGATGTTTTGATATATGGCAACTCCTAAAAGTATTTATGCCGCATCCATGTTTCAGATTTGTCATGTTAAGCTCAATGTTAGCACAAAAATGTACATAACTAAGAGGTAGACAGAAAAGGTCACATAGTTTTTCAAAATGTTTTAAACATAAAATTAAACGGTAGTGTGAAAACAGCACTAAGAAGAAAGAAGTTTAAATTAGAAGTCCTGTTTGGATTGTGCTTTGCAGTGCACCAAGCCCTGGACAGTATCCAATGGGAGGACATGATGGTGGAAGCATCATGTGGATCGGCTGCTGCAGACTGGATTACAAAATTAGACTTATGGGGGTGATAATTTAATAAAAAAAAGAAAGAAAAAAAATGGTTAAAAAATAAAAAACTAAAAGCTTTAGCATCCACTTCAGTCTCCCAGACCCATTGTACCACAATGGTTAGCTGCATTCCTGCTCCTTCTCAGTTCAGTCATAAGACTGAATTGAATTTTGAGGTAATTCTCTGTTTTCTGATAGATAAAAAGGCACAATATCCAGTCACTAGATGTGAGAATCTGGTAGAAATGGACCCTTAAGGATCCAATTGGGGTGAATTTTAGAGAAATACTAAACCACAACACACTGAAGAAAAATGCTGAAGAACACTCATGCTTTTCTTATTTCACAATATGTTAAATACTTTGTGTTGGTCTATCATAACCCCCCCACCCAAAGAAAAATAAAATAAATAAATAAAAACACTGTTCATGGTTCTACCATGATGAGTTGTGGAAAGGTTTCATGGGTATTTTCATTGTTGCCAGACATCTGCAAAGGCATCTTGCTGGCTCAGTTATACACAATGAGGGCACAGAATGATGTCTTGAATGCCAGCTTTGATTGATCACGTCATACAGCTTATTTTTGTTAAGAAATCCCACCCACCTCCAGATCAGTGCTGTCTGATGAGGAGCTATAGGATGTATCAGAGGAGGAAAGGCCACCAGCTCTGACCACTCGCATCATCTTGTGAGGAAGTCTGCCATCTGACCCGTCTTTAGACAAAGTCACTTCTTTAAGGGAAAGAACCTGAGGAAATTTAAAGCAAAAACACACAGTAACAAGGATTTCAGGTTAGATTTAAGGCTCTTAACTCTGTATTAATGGAATATTTACCTTTGTTGTCTGCTGACCACTGACATCCATATACTGGCCCATCTCCATCAGCTTCTGAATGTTCCTTGTCTTTTTGAAAAGATTAAAAACTTTAATATTTTCCAAAAGACATGTAAAGAATTAACAGCACAGGTTTCATACAAACAACAGAACAATAACCTTTACTATGTGTATATATTTACAGGAATTTAGAAAATGTTAAATGTATGCATCCACTCTCTCATTTACTTTATGCGACGAAACCTAATTTGACAGGAATGCATTTAAATGCTCTGAAGTCTTTATATTATATTTATATTTTTATTTATAAAGCTTGCTTTATGCTCAAAACTGTGCCTGATATTTGCACAGGCTGACTCACAATCAGGCATTTTGATCAAGAAAACATAAATGAGTCTGACCCATTCCTTTTTGGAGAGAGAGGAAGTTGAAAAAATAGGATTTTATACCCCTCAAAAACTGTACCCTCGAACCCCGTTAAACCGATAAAGGGAAACCTAATAGTAAAAAAAGAGCGGCAGGTTAAGGAATTGCAGATATTAGGGGGGATTAGGGCATTGCACTTGGAATCTAGAGGTTCTGAGTTCGAGGCCCACTCCCACAGACTGCCACTCTGGGTCCCTGAGCAAAGCCCCTTAACCCCACACTGCTCCCCGGGCGCCGCACAATGGCGGCCCACTGCTCCCCAAAGAGATGGGTTAAATGCAGAGAGTTTATTTCATTGCTCTGTACTTGTGGCAGCGTAATGACAATAAAAAGCTGAAATTTTTTTTAACTTACTTTTGTCTGTGATGGTTTCTGCTGCTTTTTTTGCTGCTTTGTGCCAGAAGTATGTTCAGGGTGCAAGCCTAACAGTCTCTCCGTGTCAGGTGATAGTTTCAACATCTTCTGTCTGGTTCCGGTCTTGAACTGATGCATGACTACAATCTGACAATTCTGAGTTAAAAGCAAACATATCACAGCAAATGCATACAAATCCTTATTCCACAACTGTACAATAAACAAAATTTATGAACAAAAGTTAACCACATGGTTATTTAGTTTGTTTCATTAATTCTTAGGGATCAGACAGCTTTAGTTTGTGCCATGATGAAACAATCCCATCCACTATGTAGTCCTGTTTTTAGTCATAGTCATAGTTTAGGCATAGAACTGAAAAATATATTATCAAAAAATGAACAAAATTACAAATGGGTTTCAGACAATTGTGCAGAAGGATACCAGCAGGTCCAGGATGGCACAGCCAATGGACGACAGCAGCCACGGCATAACTCTGATGAGAAATACGAACCGTATATCATAGAGGAGGATGGCTGCAGCATAGAGGGCACCAGATATGGAGGAAAGAAGTTCAGAGAAAACGGACATCTGAGTAACCTTCTGTCCGTTCCTCTAATGGAAACAAAAACATTTTTGCACCAAAATAATTAATAAAAACAAAATTCTCTAGAATATACTCTGGTACCAGTGGGGTTGTCACTTACTTCTGTACAGAGTGTAGGGAGCCTGGAGGTCCAGGCAATGATACAGGCCAGCAGACCCAGGATGTAACCAAGAATTTCTTTGTTGTCCTTTGGAAAGAGGAAAAATATTACCTATTGAAACTACAAATAAAATGCTTTTCAACTCCAAAGATGGAATAAAAGGTTTGTATTTGAATCGAGCTTTGAATTTAGTTTTTGACATGCAATCAATCACAAAAATAGAATAGTTCCCATTTCATCAACTTAGTCTCATAAAAAAACATAAATAACATATTTTAATTAGACAAAATATTTTAAATCAAGGTCTTTTGCCCAAAGAGTACCTCATGGTGAAAAGTTGGTGCATCTCTCCTAATATGTATCAGCTCTTTACTTGTGTTTTCCTTGATTTTACGTTACTGCTGCACCCTAAATGCTCCAGGGAACGTTATCACAGATCCTTCCTCCCAGCAGCTGCAAGACTTGATAACCATCACGGTTCTCAACGACCTTAATAAGTTGTTACATTCATGCTGATTTTTGCACAGCTTTCTACTTAGTCACTTAAATAACAAGCTGATGTTATTTTGTACATCTATTTATGGGGTTGCTGCCATTTTTACATATCCACCAATTTAAAAATATCAACAGCTGCATACTGATTATTCTCCATTTGCACAGAATAGAATAAAATTCAACTTTATTGTCTTTGCACTGTCACCAGTACAAAGCAACGAAATGTGGTTTGCATCCATCCAGAAGTGCTATACAGGATATAAATATTATTACAAGTGTATGTACACGCAAAAAGTAATAGTTAGGGACTGTAAAAAGTTGTGTATAAATATAAATATAAATAAATATAAATATAGGATTTATATTGTACAAAATCCTGTACAGTACAGTATTTGTTTATTTTTTCAACTCTGTCACTTATTCTATTATTTTAAGACACTTTTTAAGGTCCACATTTGTGTGAAAAATTTTGCTGTAATGATTTTGCTGCTGTAACACCACAATTTTCCCCATTGTGGGACAATATAGGGATGTTCTGTTCTATTCTCTTCCATTCTATTCTATGTAAACCAAAAACTCCAATGTGTTTATTTTGGATTTTATATATCACACGACACAATTCAAATTGGTGCAAACTTTCTTTTTCCAAACAGTTTTAGAAATAAAATATGAAGATAGAGAACAGCTTTTAGGCGGAGGAGCTACAGGTGGTACAATCTGCTGACAGAAGAACGTATGTTAACTCTAGAAATTGGGCCTTTAGGGAAGAATTTGAATTACTGAACAATTGCAGAAAGAAATCCACTTTGCAATATGCCACGATTCATGTGGTGACTAAACAATAAGGTGAAAAAGGTGCTTTGGTCAAACGAGACCAAAAGCACCTTATTTCACTAAAGTTTGTTTATGTTTGATGCATCACAGAGTGAAGCATAAACCAGCCTTAACACATCATCCCTAACAAATAACATGGAAGTGGCTCCATCATGGTGAGATAATGTTTTTGACATATTGGGGTAATACACATACACAGCATGGTTTTTACTTGAGTATTTAACATATTTTTTTTTGTTTTTGAATGTAAATTACTTTCCTTCCATTTGTGCTATTTTTTTTTCTTACCACAGAAAACAAAAGTTAATCCTTAGGAGTTTATAATTTTTAAAGCAGAAAATGGGAACAAAGATCAAGGTTTCTAATTATGTTTGGTGCGCATTGCATAACAACTGCATTCTATACTACTGATACTGTTCACCAAAGTTTTTCTTCTGTTGTCCATCCAGGTTTTCTTTTCTGTAAGTGTCCACTACTCAGAATGCAACAAGAAAAACAACCGTCTGCCCCTGCGTGTTGAGCGTTTCCTTGTTAGATTGCACAAACCATCACAGACATCCATCTCTACAACTTCACCATTATAGGGTTCCAACTTGAGAGCTGCATGAAGCTGTGCATTAGCCTCCTTCCACCAACAGGCCTGAGCGCTGGAGGATCATCAACTCTGGACCTCAGAAACCCTCCAGCAACCACCATCAGCACACCTACAGCAAAGATTTGCTGTCTCCTGCGCTTCTTCATCGCCCTCAGCCTCCGCTCTGCAGGAGAACACCAGGACACAGATGATCCATTCATTTGTGTGTTTATCAAGAAGTTAACAGATAACGTTTCCTTTCAGCTTTTCCCTACACAGCCTGGCCTACTTTACACATCCTGAGCTATGAAGGCACAATTTTATTTTGCATACCGTTATCAGGTCATAATGCTTGGAAAAGATGGAGCTTTATCTTGACCTACGTGTTTGGGAGCTCCAGCACAGGAACACTGGAAGGCAGCACAGGATGCAGTGCACAGCATCCTTCACAGCAGCAAAAGCCCCCATAAAAATCTAAGGACATATATAATTTAATCCAGATTAAAATCATGCATGGATCATGTGTTTTAATCTAAAACTATGTTACCTGTATGTGCAGCTGCCTGGACAGAACTGCTCCCACAGTGTTGCACAGGTTACCCAGAAAGCAGTAGAATACCATGATGGTTTCAGGTGAGTTTTCCCCTCTTGATTTACAACTCTGGCACGCGACCCTGAAACAGAGAGGTGTGGGGTTATTGGCAGATTGGCTCCCCTTTAAATCCCCGGGGTGTAGACTTACAGGAGAGAGGAGAGCAGCAGCAGGAGGGCAGAGAGCAGGGTGAGAGCAGCGGGGACGCACGGTTTGTGCGCGTCTGGAGACAAACAGGTGGCGACGGAATGAAGCCAGAAAGCACCGAGGCTGGAGAGGAAGTGATCGGAGCTTCCTCTGAGCTGATCATCGGTGATCGAAACACCTTCATCCATTTTCCCTGCAAACTGCTCCGCAGTCTGCGAACTGTCGCCCTTCTCCATGCAACTGAGACGCTCCACTAACAGGCAGCAGGAGGAACCTGAGGAAGGGCTGGTTACCTGTGACGCACCTGCTCATTAAGGATCTGAACCAATTACCGGAAAAGCAAAGAAGATTAATCGTTTGACTAGAAACTAATGCAGCTCTCTAGCAGTTATTGGCCTTTTCAGAGAATATTGAGTTTAAAATGCATTTAAAACTTTTTTTATTATTTATTTTAAAGCAGCGGTTTGATGTCAGTCTATAGACAATGACATGCGTTTTCCCCAATACATTAAAAAGGGATGTTTTTTTTTTACAGAAAAATAAAAAAAAAACTTAAAGATAGACGATAGATTACAAAAACTGGTAGCACATGTTTGGTGCTTAATCTACCTTTACACCTTTAAAGCCTGAACCATGACATAATTGACAAAAAATAAAGAAATTCAGTGAATTTTATGACAAATTAAATAAAAAAAGCATATATTTGGAATAAAAAAAAAGATTTTAAATTAGATAATTTATTTATATCAGTTATCATACATGAGGTATTTCTGTATAATCATTTGCACGTTTTCAGTTCACTGTAAAAGTGTATGTCAGGTTTTCTGATGTCTTTTTGTTTCTTTGAAAGTGAATTTTAAGACCATAATGGATGTCAGAAGCAATACTTTTTTGATTTAGTTTTTTTCTGTTGTCGAAATTAATTAAAAAAAAAAAGGGGAAAAAAATCTAACATTTTTGTTGCATTAACACGACTTAAACTTTTTGTGCAATCAGTTTCCCAGCTGGACTGAGTAAATATGCTACAGTTTTAAGTTATTTAGAAAATAACAATTGAATTCTATTTGAATATGAACATATCACACTTAAAAAAAAAAAGAATAAATCCAGCATTTTAGTATAAAATAAATGGTTTAAGTTAACTCATACCAAATAAAATGCGTAAATAGACGTCATCCATTAGAGTTACCGTATAATAATTGCTTTATGTTCTTAGACTCCAATTAATTGATTAAAAACACTAAAATAATTTGAGTTTCATAACTATAATTTCATAACAAATAATTTTAATTAAGTTAACTTGTCAGGTTTGAGAGTGAACATGGAAGATTTATGTGGTTATACAAAGAAAATTACATTCTACATCACTATCAACTGGATATTATCATACAAGGAAAAGTCAAACAGAGCGCTTCATATCAGAGGTTATCACAGAACTAGCAAATAATATTTTATTATTTTATTTTTTTACCAGATGGGAAACTTTATCAACCAAATTTTCAACCCTCATGATTTTATGTGGTCTGTGTGTTGCTGCAGAGGTGTCCCAGCTTTTCACCTCTCATATCTAAGATGTGCCGAGGCTGAAAGTCATCAGGTGTGGAGGAGGATGGCAGTACAGAAGCTTGCCCTGATATGAGAGTTGGAAACATCAACAGGAGCAAAATGTTTCAAAAATAATAAAGACAAAAAGAAGAAAATCAGTTTTTGAAACACAAGGTGCTTGTGGATGAAAGGAGGAATGGTGAGATGTTTACATTCCTGATTTCACAAACAGTCCCACGATCAAGAAACTGGGCTCATATCAGAGTAATTTCTAAATTTGTTTTTTACAGAACAACACAAAGTACTGCTTAACTGTAAGGGAAAGGCAACTTGTGAAATGAAAATCTGCAATGTGTGGTTTGCATCTGCAGGGACAGTGAGCTTGGTCATAGACATTCAGAGGGACTATTAGTAGCAGGGGTTGTGCTGCCACAGAGCACCAGCACTAGACATAGAAGCAGAACCACAGGCAATGGGTTTAGATTAGAGCAGAGGCATCACTAAGGTTTAAGGACGGGGGGACTTAAGTCCTCACTTGATGCAAAGGATGTAAATGGATGTAGCTTTCTGTACACAATTTCTCAAACAGCCAACAAAATCTGGGAAGCTGCTTTCCCACTATTTGGACAGATTAAACAACAATACTTTATTTTGTAAACCTTTATTAATTGACTTTCAATACAAAAAAACAAAAACCAAACAGGCACTATGTTGGTTGATCTGTTGTTTGTTCCCAAATATTTTGAAGTTACACAGTTCACATTTTCGGCCCAAAATATGATTAAGACAGTGGGAATTTAAAGCCCTAAAAATATTATTTAAAAGAAAAAAAGTTTTCCATTGTAAAAAAAAAAAAAATCCATCATTTATTGGGCCCTAAGACCTTTAACTGATTTCCTGAGACCTGATAACTTCCTAAAATGTTTACTGTTTTGCTTATGTGCAATGTACCAGTGGAAGCTTCCAAGTCTGACTTTTCTGAATGAGATTTATGAAATACCCCTCTGGTTAAGAGCCACCTGCAGAAAACCGAAGTAAAGTTATTAAATGGTGAGCACAAAGCCCCGACTTGGGTCCCATTGAAAACCTGAGTGGTACACCAATGACCAGGGTCCATTCTAGAACCCAATTAAATCTGCAAGAGCTTGAAATTGTTTTTTTAAGGAAAGGTGGGCTGGGATTCCTCTAAAATGTGTCACAGTTACAATCTACAAAAAATCATTAGATGCTGTTATTCAGCAAAGGGGATATGCAATTGACCATTAGCATTAGGGGTGCTGATAATTCTGACTCTGAAAGTTTTTATGAAATAATTTGGGTTTGAGGTTCAAAAGGATATAAAATAAGGATCCTAAATAAAACAGATATTTGGAAAAGCTGCTGTGAAATTTATTAGTCTGCTTAACATGTGGGTTCAAGAGATGTTTTTTTTAATAAACATTGTGATGTGATTTCATTTTGCACTCAGTTTGTCATGAATCTATGTTTCCCCTTTTCCAAGGCTTGAACAAGAGACCGCTGGTGAGAATTGGTTTTATTGTCAGCAACCACTTTCCTGTTTTCCTTCCTGGCCAACAGGAATTAATCCCAACTGTTGAGATAGTGGCTCTTGCAATCATTAATGGTGTTTGAAGTGTTATTGCCACATCACTGACACCGTACAGTCATGGCAAACAGCAGTTCACTTACCTGTTTCTGAAACTTAAAATAATTTTTTTTTTCCACTTCTTTACATCCCTTTTCTGGCAGACTCATGCAGCATGACCCACTGGCGATGCAAATATGATCCTCAATCATTTGTCACAAAAAAGTACCTTTTATATCAGTTATGAAGTTTTACAGCTAATATTGACATGCTGATAAGATCATGCATCCCCAATAAATATGGATGATTCATACTGATAAGGGGGAAAATAGACAGAAATGTCATTACTTTAATGACCATGTATGCATCTCCTGGAAATGGATTTAATCTTTTCCAAAGTATCACAAATAGAATGTTTTTAGAAAGTAGTTTTTTTGCGTGTGGAAGTGACCCAAATATGGGACCAAAAGCGAACAACTGAAACAAGAAGTCAAAATCTAGCTTATTATCTAAGGAGACTAAGTATTGAGAGAAGTTGGATTATTAACTTAAAAGAAAATTGGTGGGTGCAAATCCAAAAGAGAAAAAGGACTGGATTGATGGGTGCACCATTCTAGAGTAAGAAAAAAAAACAAAACAAAACACATCACTCTGGTTTTTTTTTCTTTTCTTTTGTGAACAAGGATAACTAAGTGTTTTGGTCACATGCTGTCATCAGTTTACTCAGGTCACGTTTGAGAGGTTGGACTAATTGATTTAGGGATGCAGCAATTCCCAACATGATCACCTCTTCAACATAAGTTATTCAAAGAAACATTGTTTTTGACTCTGCCTTTTATGGAAGCAGCAGGTGCATCCTAATCTATTTGATATTTTCTTTATGCTGTTAGTATAGTCTGAAATGGCAGTGATTTCGTTTTATCATTAAACCGCTGCCTTTGCAGGGAGATCAATCAAATTTTCTGCATTTTTTTTTCCTCTGTATCTTCACTAACTGAATCCTGTTGTGTGACAAAAAACAGAATCAAATCCTCCATTACTGCCTTGGTTCAGCTGGACCAGGAACCAAGGCTTGGTTTAAATGAAAGCAAAATCACGGTCTTCAAACAATAAATCTGAACAAAATAAATTTATGTTGTCACATCTGTTTTAATTTCAGCACTGAAAAATATATACCTTACGTAATCAGATTCCAATAAATCTTTAAAAAAAAGCAGTGAATTGAGCTAAAATGGTGTTCTCATCGAGCCTCCACTCCAGACGTTGCAGTCTGCTGCAAAATATTGACAGACACATTTTTCTTTAGCAGTCACTGCCTGTTTTTGCACCATAGTTATGGAAGTCACTGACAACAGTGTTACACTGGACGTGCACTTCAGTCGTGTCGTGAGAAGACACTGCAGGTCAAAGGGAACCTTTCCTAATTATGTAAAAAAAAAAAAAAAGGATATATGCAAGCGACATGAAAATATTCTAAATATTTGGTGCTTCAACTCCAATCAACAACACAGTCCAAGTCATAAATGATTTCAACCATTTCTATCTGAATATAATATTAAGCAGCTCAGATCAAGACCTCATCCATATTCGCAGATGAGAGGCATCTGTGCATCTACATCAGAGACCTTAAGAGATTATTCATATTTTACTTTATTCCATTTGAAATCAGATGGTTAAAAGCAAAGTCCAGACAATCATCACGCGTCCAGATGCTTTGTAACCCGCCGGAGTTTCTCCTTCTTGTTTCTGTTGCTGTGTTTTTTCCAGGGCTTTTCTCCCGTTGCCTCTGATTGGGAGCTGACTGGTCCAACTGGTCCACTTCCTGGTTTGTAGCCCATGATGGTTTTGACTCCTTTTGTGAGTGCCCGGACATTATCCTACAAGGAAGAGCCCATCAAAGGTAGAAAACGTTTTTCCTCAAACAGATTATTGGTGCTAATGATCAGAGCATTTATTCTTACCTGATGGAAGAAGTTTTTATCAACAACATTTTCAATCCTCTTGATTTTCTGTGGTCTGTTTGTTACTGCGGAGATGTCCCCATTTTCAGAGTCTCTTTTCTGGAATTTGCTGTGCCGAGGCTGAA